TTTTTGAGACAGAGTCTGGCTCTGTCGCCCAGGCTGGAGTGCAGTGGCGCGATCTCGGCTCACTGCAAACTCCACCTCCCAGGTTCCTGCCATTCTCCTGCCTCAGCCTCCTGAGTAGCTGGAACTACAGGCGCCTGCCACCACGTCCGGCTAATTTTTTGTATTTTTAGTAGAAACGGGGTTTCACCGTGTTAGCCAGGATGGTTTCGATCTCCTGACCTCATGATCCGCCCGCCTCCACCTCCCAAAGTGCTGGAATTACAAGCTGAGCCACCGCGCCCGGCCTCTATTAATATTTTTTAGTTATACATCATATGTCTACATTTTCATTCCATCATGAGCTCCTCCAGGACAGTGCTTAGGTGATATTTATCTCTGTCTTCTGACACCGTATTTCTGCCATCCAGGCAGAAAAGGCTCAATAAAAAGGTATTGAATCGAATAAGTATTTGTAATTCACATAACAGACAAATGCCTGATGCCTAAGCAACTGTTTATTTCCCCTTATCAATAAATGTCAGCATTGTTTTCTCCTTTCCCTGCTTTCAATTTCCTGTAAAAACCTAACGGTGACTGGCCAAGGAAATTTCCTTTTTAAATTCAAAGTTGGCACACACACTGAAGACACTGCGATAATCTTAATATATTCCTCGTAGGAATGTGAGAAGTGTTCAGAGCTAAGGGTTAAAACCATATTTGGAGGTCAAAAAATTGATTCTAGGCTGGGCGTGGTGGCTTCCGCCTGCAATCCCAGCACTTTGAGAGGCCAAGGCGGGTGGATCACCTAAGGTCAGGAGTTCGAGACCAGTCTAGCCAAAATGGCAAAACCCCATCTCTATTAAAAATACAAAAATTAGCCAGGCGTGGTGGTGAGTGCCTGTAGGGCCAGATACTTGGGAGGCTGAGGCAGGAGAATCGCTTGAACCCAGGAGGTAGAGGTTGCAGTGAGCCAAGATCGCGCCACTGCACTCCAGTCTGGGAGACAGAGCCAGACACTGTCTCAAAACAAAGAAACAAGCAAGCAAGCAAACAAACAAACAAAAAAACAGGCTGGGCGTGGTGGCTCACGCCTGTAATTCCAGCACTTTGGGAGGCTGAGGCAGGTGGATCACCTGAGGTCAGGAGTTTGAGACCAGCTTGGCCAACATGGCGAAACCCCATGTCTACTAAAAATACAAAAATTAGCCAGGCATCGTGGCGCCTACCTGTAATTCCAACTACTCGGGAGGCTAAGGCAGGAGAAGCTCTTAAATCCGGGAGGCTGAGGTTGCAGGTTGCATGTGACATAGCCGAGATCGCGCCATCGCACTCCAGCCAGGGCAACAAGAGCGAAACTCCATCTCAAAACAAAACAAAACAAACAAACAAAAACCAACAAACAGCAACAAACAAAACGGAGGATGGTAAATAACTGTCCAGATACTTTCCAGCTTTGCCGCTATATGAACTATTCCTTTTGTTTAGTTTGTTTTCAGCATGGGTGCTTTGGCACTTTTATGTACATTCCAGCCTCTGGGGACAGGCTTCCTAGAATAACAGGCGTTTGCCCCAGAGGCCGTGGGGTGGCCTTACTTTGGGGGCGTGGGTAGATCGCGGCTCCCAAGCCTGGACTTTGGGCTCGCAGGCAGGATCCCTTTCAGGCCAAGCACCGCGCACAGGCGCGCCAGGCAGAGCCCCGCCCCACCCGGCCGTTCCCTTCCGCCCCGGGGCGCGGATCTTGCGTTTGAAACTGAGCAGAGCAGAGCGCGGAACCTGGCCGGCGGGCCACGTGACAAGCCCGGAGACAGCTCCGCCCACCCGCTTCCTGAGCCGCACCTCCAGTCCTCCCTCCTCCCTTCGCACGTGGTGCCGCCGCTGTGGCCTCCAGCTCGCCCCGAACCCAGTTCCTGCAACCATGGCTCCTGGCCAGCTCGGTGAGGACCTAGCGGAGCGGCGCGGTTCGTGGCCCCCCAAGCTCCCGCCATCGGCGGCGGCGGCGGGACCCGGCACGCAGGGGCGGCGCTGCGGCCCGAAAGCCAGCGTCCCCGCTCCCCAGCCGGGCCCCAGCCTGCGTGTGGCCCGCTTTAGAGCAGGTCGCGGGTGTAGGACCTGAGGAGGCCTGGGCCAGGCCTGCGAACGCTGAGTCCAGGTGCTGGCCTTGCGATTCGAGAGTCTCCTCCCCCAGACCCTCTCAAGGCCTTGCAGACCACAGTGCAAAGTGCTGCCAGTCATGAGAAAAAAATGCCTTCTCTTTCAGCCTTATTTAGTGTCTCTGACAAAACCGGGCTTGTGGAATTTGCAAGAAACCTGACCTCTCTTGGTTTGAATCTGGTCGCTTCCGGAGGGACTGCAAAAGCTCTCAGGGATGCTGGTCTGGCAGTCAGGTAAGGCACAGCTAGTTCATCAGAAAGGAGTGTGATCACATTAACCAGGAAGTATTGTATTCTAGGCACCAGGAGCTAAATAAATGCCTTACTTACTCCTCCCAGTGGCGCTGTGAGGTTGGTGCAATACTTCCCCACTTTATGGAAGACAAAAATGAGGCTCAGAGAGATTTACTAACTTTTAAGACCTTGGACGGCCGGGCGCGTTGGCTGAGGCTTGTAATCCCAGCACTTTGGGAGGCCGAGGTGGGCGGATCACTTAGGGTCAGGAGTTCGAGATCAGCCTGGCCAACATGGTGAAACCCCTTCTCTATTTGAAATACAGAAATTAGCCGGTGTGGTGGGACACGCCTGTAATCGCAGCTACTGGGGAGGCTGAGGCAGGAGAATCGCTTGAACCTGGGAGGCAGAGGTTGTGGTGAGCCGAGATTGCACCATTGCACTCCATCCTGGGTGACAGAGAAAGACCCTGGACAACACACTGGAGAGATTTAACAACTTCTGCACAAGTTTAAAGAGTTGAGTAAGGGAGAACTAGGATTGGAACCCGTGCTGTTCCTGATTTTAGGACCCTAGTCTTAGCCACTTCCTTAAACAGATTAACTTAGGTGGGCCACTTGTTATGCAAGGAAAACTTCAGTTACTTTGGTGATTTAGTAAAACTTGACATCATGAAGATTCCAATCTACCTCCCTTCCCTGAGAATCTCCGGTAACCATATGAAGGTGCAAACCATTCATTCCCACGTTCACAAGCCCTTCATTAGCTGACTAGGCCGTGGAAAGAAGGGACTTAGAAATGATTAAGCAGGATGCTGTTCCTGACGTCAAGGACTGGCATTCTGGTAGGAGAGGGAGTAAGTCTACTGAAAGGTAGAAAATGGAAAAGACTGTAGGATAGCTATTTAATAAACGACAGTGAGAGTTCGGAGGAACGAGATGCCCACCCCTGAAACATATTTTAGAATGAAAGAGGTGAAAGATATCTGTCTGCTTTTTGTTGTCATGTGGAAAATTTGCTTCTTGGTTTCTAGATCCATGTAGAGGTAGGTTACTACCTTTTCTTTGTGCAGTTCTCAGCTATGTGAGCAGTACACAGCTTCCCTAAATTTAACAAGATGGTAAGCATGCCCTACTTTGTTAACAAACACATACTTTATATTATCCGATGTCTTTTTGTGTCTTGTCTCTGTGGTTTTCATGGGAAACCTGTGAGAATCATGGCAGGCAAGTTGGCTCTTTGCTCATCAGGAACCGAATGTGAATTCGAAGTCCAGACCTGCGTTCTTTCCATTGGGCCAAACTGGGTCCTCCTATGGTAATGGAACCTTCTTTAAGCAAAATCCTCACCTGTAGTCTCTTTTTTTTCCCACCAAACTTTGTATTATGTAAACATTTCAGACACAAAAGTAGAAAAGTATAATGATCCCTTGTGTCCTGTATCTGTCTTCCACTTTAGGTACTTATCAACTGATTAGTCTTATTTCTGTACCTCTACCCACTCCTCACTTATTTTCATTATGGTCATATCTTTTTTCAAAACTGGAAATGTAAATGTGTTTCTCTTCTATGAAAGGGTAAGAAGTTCACCATGAGTGATTTATTCAGAACCCAGCACAGTAAAGTTCATTGAATGAAGTGTAAACAACTTGGAGCATTTGTTTTTCTGCAACAAAGGCCACATTCAGTTGCAGTAGTATTTTATTCAGTTGCAGTGGTATTTTATTCAGTTGCAGTGGTATTTTATTCAGTTGCAGTGGTATTTTACATATATAAACTCTTATAGTCCTTGTAACAACTTTTTAGTGTAGGTAGTGTTGTCCCCATTTTATAGGTAAAGAAACTAAGCACAACGTAGTTAAGTAACTTGCTTGAGATTACACAGCTAGTAAGAGGCCAAGTTTTTTTTTTTTTTTGAGATGGAGTTTTGCTCTTGTTGCTCAGGCTGGAGTGCAATGGCACTGTCTCAGCTCACTGCAACCCCTGCCTCCCGGGTTCAAGCAGTTCTCCTGCCTCAGCCTCGCAAGTAGCTGGGATTACAGGTGCCCGCCACCATGCCCGGCTAATTTTTTTGTATTTTTGATAGAGACGGGGTTTCACCATGTTGGCCAGGCTGATATCGAACTCCTGACCTCAAGTGATCCGCCTGCCTTGGCCTGCTGGGATTACAGGTGTGAGCTACCACACCCGAGGCCAAGATTTTGTAGGGGCGAAAAGGTGTCATGACCAATATTTTTATAAGAGAAGACAGGTTATAATAAGAGAAAAGCATAACAAATTTATTTAACAAAGTTTTACATGACATGAGAGCCTTCCGAATGAAGACCCAGAGATAGAGGGAAAACCATCCATTTTTATGTTTAGGTTCAACAGCGAATGCACAGAAAGGTAGAAGTATGATTGGACAGCAAGGATATGCTGTATGCTAGTAGACCGAGGTGGAGAAAGCCAGGAAAGCCTGTTTGTCCAGATTCTTCTTGGCATCTCTAAAATTCCTTCTCCACCCTGCCCTCCAGCAGGGTCTCCTGTCCTACTATTGGGCAAGGAGATAAGAGGATTTCTTTATGGCCAGCTCCTAGACAGAAAGCCAGGGGTTAGAATCATAAGTTTAATTCTTATGACTGGCTTTGGGAAAAGGGGTTCTACTTTCTGTAACCTGCCCTGGGGAAGAGAAATTGTGGTTTCTGTGACTTCAGGGAAGAATGAAGGGTGAGAGGCAAGAGGGCAGGAGAAAGTTAAGATTTTTTTTTTTTTTTTGAGAGAGAGTCTTGCTCTGTCGCCCAGGCTGGAGTGCAGTGGCACAATCATGGCTTATTGCAGCCTCGAACTCCCAGGCTCAGGCAATCCTTCTACTTCAGCCTCCTGAGTAGCTGGGACTACGGTGCACACCAGCATGCCTGACTAATTTTTGTATTTTTAATAGAGATGGTTTCACCATGTTGTTCCCCTGTTCTTGAACTTCTGGGCTTAAGCATTTATGACTGCCTTGGCCTCCCTAAGTGCTGGGATTACAGGTGTGAGCCACCGTGCCTGGACAAGATCTTGGTTCTGGCTGGGCGCAGTGGCTCATGCCTGTAATCCCAGCACTTTGGGAGGCTGAGGCTGGCGGATCATCAGAGGTCAGGAGTTTGAGCCCAGCCTGGCCAACATGGTGAAACCCCATCTCTGCTAAAAATACAGAAAAGAGTCAGTCAGGTGTGGTGATGCACACCTGTAATCCTAGCTACTCAGGAGGCTGAGGCAGGAGAATTGCTTGAACCTGGGAGGTGGAGGTTGCAGTGAGCTGAGATTCCGCCACTACACTCCAGCCTGGGTGACAGAAAGAAACACTGTCTCAAAAAAAAAAAAAAAGATCTTGGTTCTGAGGCTGCTTCTGAGCATATTTTTGAGTATTGTTATCTACAATAATTTTATCCCAGGAAGTTAACCATTACCTCGTCATGAGGTAAACTGATGGATTTTAATTGGATTTTAATTAGTGAGTATACAGCAGTGAGCATACATAGAATTATTTCCCAAGACTACAGCCATTATGTATAAATTCTTCAGTTCAAAGGAGTAGCAAGCTTTTTAATTGCCCCAAATGTTTAATTCTAGAAATAAATCCACCTTCTCTAAGTTTTAAGTGACTGTGTTCATTTGGAGGAAATGGATTTTATTTCCTGAACCCCAGGAAAAGAAATTTTGAATTTGAAAACATTTATGTCACCAGTTTGTGGATGTTGGAACTGTGTGTGTCATTGGTCAAACACCAGTCTTTTGCAAATGGCTCCCCTTAATAGGAGTATCTACCCAGGAAATTCCATATCTTACTGGCAGAACTTGCTGCTTTAAAGTGTTTATTATAGTCTCAGCTACTTGGAGGATTACTTAAGCCCAGGAGTTCTAGGTGGCCATGCACTATAGTTGTACCTGTGAATAACCACTGTACTCCAGTCTGGGCAACATAGTGAGATCCCATCTCAAAAAAAGCTATGTATGTTGGTTGTAGAAAATTCAAAAGCGTGGAAAACTATAAAGAAGGTAGTAAAAATGGATTGTAATTCTTAACGTGTTAATATATTTTTCTTCTAGCATTTTCATAAGCATGCACTTTATTTCATAGCTTACACAGAAGATAGATGCAGTTTTGCTTACTACTTTATTTATGTTTGTTTATTTATTTATTTTTTGAGATGGAGTTTCGCTGTTGTTGCCCAGGTTGAAATGCAGTGGCGTGATCTTGGCTCACTGCAACCTCCGCCTCCTGGGTTCAAGCGATTTTCCTGCCTCAGCCTCCCGAGTAGATGGGATTACAGGCGTGCACCACCATGCCTGCCTAATTTTGTATTTTTAGTAGAGGTTGGGTTTCACCATGTTGGCCAGGCTGGTCTCGAACTCCTGACCTCAGGTGATCCATCTGTCTTGGCCTCCCAAAGTGCTGGGATTACAGGTGTGAGCCACCCCATCCAGCCCCTGCTTTATTTTTTCTTATATATTGTGGACATTTTTACACACCATTACAACTTATAAAGTCTGCCAGAGTGTTCATGGTTACAACTTTCTAGGGGTCAGCTTGGTGATATAAATTAATATTTAAATATAGTCCTTCACTTGACCCTTTGTCACATTGTGTGATTATTTTTTCTAGTTTACTGTTTTTCCCATGTGAAACTTTTTATTTGACATTTCTGTAATCAGACCTCTCAATCTTTTGTTTAATAATTGCAAAGAATATTATACATATTTAATTTTGCTACATACATGATTTTTTAAATGCTTAAACCTTTGATTCATAAGGAATGTATTTTTGTGTGGTTTTAACCAGTTATTCCAATACCAACACCACTTTATTAAACAGTCTTTTATTCTTCACTCACTTGATATGCTATCTTCATGTGTTGTTGTTGTTTTTTGAGATTGGAGCCTTGCTCTGTCGCCTAGGCCGGAGTGCAGTGGCATGACCTCAGTTCACTGCAACCTGCATCTCCTGGGTTCAAGTGATTCTCCTGCCTCAGCCTCCAGGGTAGCTGGGATTATAGGTTCCAGCCACCACGCTTGGCTAATTTTTTGTATTTTTTTAGTAGAGATGGGGTTTCATCATGTTGGCCAGGCTGGCCTTGAACTCCCCAACTCAGGTGATCCATCTGTCTCGGCCTTCCAAAATACTGGGTTTACAGACATGAGCCACTGTGCCCGGCCAAGGATATTTTTAATGCTTTTTGTTACATACTGCCAACTTCTCAGTTGTATTTCTTAGTAATATTTAATGAGTGTGGCTTATGATTCAGTTTCTAAATTCTCTGAAAATTATAAAACCAATGCTGTAATAGTTACCAATTATCCCTGAACATACACAACAGTTAGGAAATATATTAAATAACCTTTTTTTTTTTTAAAGTAAATAGAATTTTACTTAAGAAATCAAGTATAGTGAAAGACTTAAAAAATCAGAATTTTCTTGTTGAATTCACGCTCAAAATCTCTTGAAATGAAAACAGATGCTTTGAATACTATAAAATAACAGTTCAGCCACACCAGTAGTACTATTCTGTTTATCTGTTTTTCAGAGATGTCTCCGAGTTGACGGGATTTCCCGAAATGTTGGGGGGACGTGTGAAAACTTTGCATCCTGCAGTCCATGCTGGTAAGTGGTTGGTATCTTTAGTGTATAACAGTCAGTGGTTTCCAGGAATATTTCAGTTGATAACGTCCTAAAATAAAGGAGGAAAAAGGCTCAAGAGAAATTTACATATAAAGTTAATGTTACGAAGTTGCTGGCAAATTTCATAATATGTTAGAACTGGTTTAAAATCCGGCTTGTCTTACTACTTGATGAATTCAGATTGTTTTCCTCTGCTTGCTATTAGTCCTCACCTGATGCCTAATTTAGAGGCTGGTATTTCCTGCTTGAGTGGCTGAAGATACTTAGATTTCATAGTATGAAAAGACTTAAAATAGTTCAAACTTAGAATGAAGCATCACAATATAACCGACTTGCCAAAGAATGTTTTTTCAAAGTGCTTTTCATTTGTTCATTCACCTGAGAATGAACTATATATAAATCAAAGTGACAAGAAACTGATATCCTAGTTTGTCAGTTGTGGTACAATTTGGTGAATAAAGCTGAATGGCTACAGATCATCAGACATCCATTGACTTACAGGAACTCATAGACTGTTCTGGAACTAGCAACAGTTTTGTAAAATTCCGTTTACCTTTTTTATATTTTATTGCTCAAGAAAAGGGGATCAAGAACTGAAGAAAAGATTTTTAAATGTATCCTTTTTTTTTTTTGAGACAGGGTCCCACTCTTGCCCAGGCTGGAGTGCAGTGGTGCGATCACGGCTCGCTATAGCCTCTGCCTGCCTCCCAGGCTCAAGCAGTTCTCCCACCTCCGCCTCCCAAGTAGGTGGGACTAGAGGCATATGCCACCATGACCAACTAATTATTGTATTTTTTATAGAGAAGGGGTCTTACCTTGTTGCCCAGGCTAGTCTCAAACTCCTGGGCTCAAGCAATCCCCCACCTTAGCCTCCCAAAGTGCTGATATTACAGGCATGAGCCACTGTGGCCAGCCAAATGTATCTGTTAATCCTGATTTTTTTGTTTGATAACTTCTCAACTATATGTTTGATATTCTTTAAGAATATTATGCTGGGCATGGTGGCTCTTGCCTGTAGTCCCAGCACTTTGAGAGCTGAGACAGGAGAATTGCTTGAGCCCAGGAGTTTAAGATCACCCTGGGCAATGCGGCAATTCCCCCCTTCTCTTTAAAAAATTAAAAAGACCAGCTGGGTGTGGTGGTGCATGCCTGTAGTCCCAGCTACTTGGGAGGCTGAGGTAGGAGGATTGCTTGAGTCCTGGAGATTAGGGCTACAGTGAGTTGTGATTACGCCACTGCAATCCAGCCTGGGCGATACAGCGAGACCATCTCAAAAAAAAAAAAAAATTTTGTTTTTAATCAAGAGGATTTAATTTGATTGAAGACACTATGTTGAAAGAAATTCCTTAATCTTACTTGTTTTTTGAACCGAATACTTTGTTTAACTTTGTTAAATTAGGAATCCTGGCTCGTAATATCCCAGAAGATAATGCTGACATGACCAGACTTGATTTCAATCTTATAAGGTAAAAACCTGAAATTGAACTTTGCACACATTATGACCAATGACAAAGACTGTGCCAGACCTGGTATCCCTGGTTTTTCTTGCTCACTATAAACCTTTACTGCCTGCCTTCTGTGTGACTTTGTATGTGTGTAAGCATTTTGGTTTGGCCAGATTTATATAACCAAAATACATACTTAAAGTTTTTAGGAAGTTAGAGTCTAAATCTTAGTATGTATAGGTTGAGTATCCCCTATCTGAAATGCTTGGGACCCAGAAGTGTCTTGGATTTCAGATTTCTTCAGATTTTGGAATATTTGTGATAACGTATCAGTTGAGCATCCCTCAGAAATCCCAAATGTCCCAGTGAGCATTTCCTCCGAGTGTCGTGTTGACATGCAAAAAGTTTCAGGTTTTGGAGCATTTCAGATTTTGGAGCGTTTCAGATTTCAGATTTTCCTATTAGGGATTATCAGCTTGCACAACTAACTGAGTTATTTGCATAAAGATACTGGCTGTTTCTTTTAAATATACATAACAGCTTTATTGAGATCTGATCCACAGCTTTATTGAGATCTAATCCACATACCATACAACTCACCAATTTAAAATGTACAAATCAGTGGTTCACAGAAGTTGTGCAACCATTACTGTGTTAGTCTATTCTGCATTGCTATAAAGGAATACTAAAAGCTGGGTAATTTATAAAAATAGGTTTATTTTGGCTCATGATTCTACAGACGGTACAAGAAGCATGTTGCCAGCGTCAGCTTCTGGTAAGGGCTTCAGGAAGCTTACAGTCACAGTGGAAGGCAGAGGGGGAGCTGGCATATCACATGAGAGGAGAAGCAAGAGAGAGGGAGAGGAGGAGTTGCCCGGCTCTTTTACTTTTTAAATTTTATTCTTAATTTAATTTGATTTTATTTTGAGACAGGGTCTCGCTCTGTTGCTCAGGTTGGAGTTCAGTGGCACGACCTTGGCTCACTGCAACCTCTGCTTCTTGCATTCAAGTGATTCTCCTGCCTCAGCCTCCTGAGTAGCTGAGATTATAGGCATTTGTCACCACACCCAGTTCATTTTTACTCTTTTTAGTAGAGATGGGATTTCACCATGTTGGTCAGGCTGGTCTCAGAACTCCTGACCTCAAATGATCCACTCACCTTGGCCTCCCAAAGTGCTGGAATTAGGTGTGAGCCACCACGCCTGGCCTTCCCGGCTCTTTTAAACAACCAGCTCTACATGAACTCAGAGTGAGGACTCATTATGGGGAGCGCACCAAGCCATTCATAAGGGATCTCCCCTTGTGGCCCAGTCACCTCCCACCAGGCCATACCTCCAACATTGGGGATCACATTTCAAAATGAGATTTGGAGAGGACACACATCCCAAACCATATTAATTGCCACATCCCAGGCTGGTCTTGAACTCCTGACCTCAGGTGATCCGCCCATCTTGGCCTCCCAAAGTGCTGGGATTACAGGTGTGAGCCACCATGCTCAGCCCACAAAAGTTTTTAATTTTGATGATGTTGAATTTATTTATTGTTTTGTTGCTTGTGTTAATAGTGTCATATCTAAGAAACTATTGTCTAATCCTCAGTGATGAAGATTTTTGTGTATATTTTCTTTCTTTCTTTCTTCCTTTTTTTTTTTTGAGATGGAGTTTCGCTCTTGTTGCCCAGGCTGGAGTACAATGGTGTGATCTTGGCTCACTGCAACTTCTGCCTCCTAGGTTCAAGCAATTCTTATGCCTCAGCCTTTCAAGTAGCTGGGATTACAGGTGCTCGCTACCACGCCCAGCTAATTGTTTTGTGTTTTTAGTAGAGACGGGGTTTCTCCATGTTGACCAGTCTGGTCTCGAACTCCTGACCTCAGGTGATCTACCCGCCTCGGCCTCCCAAAGTGCTGGAATTACAAGCGTGAGCCACTGCACCCAGCCTATGTACATTTCTTTTAAGACTTATTTTAGTGTTAGTTATTATAGTGTTAGTCTTTGTTTCATTTTAAGTTAATTTTTATATACAGACATGAAATAGAAGTCTTACTTTGTTTGTGGCTGTCCAGTTGTCTCAGCATCGTTTGTTGAAAAGACTGTTCTTTGCCCAATCGAATGGTCTTGGCACCCTTGGTCTGCATGCTTATTGTTATGCCAGTACTACACTATTACTACAGGTTGGTAATAAATTTTGAAATCAGCAAGTGTGAGTCCTCCAACTTCCTTTTTCTTATTCAAGAATGGCTTTGACTCTTCGGGGTCCCTTGTATTTCCACATGATTTTTAGAATCAGCTTGTCCGTTTCTGCAAAACAACGCAGTTGGAATTTTCATAGGGATTGTGTTGAATCTGTAGATCAATTTGGGAAATGTTGCCATCCTAAGAATATTAAATTTTCCAGTCCGTGAACATGGGGTGTCTTTCTATTCATTTAGATTGTCTTTAATTTCTTTTAACATTGTCTTGTGAAGTAGAATTGTTTTCTTAATTTTTTTCTCATGCATTGCCAATGTATATTTTAATACAATTGAATTTTGTATATTGATCATATATCCTGCGGCTTTGCTGAACTCATTTATTAGTGCTAAGAGGTTATTTTTGTGAATTTGGGATTTTCGGTATACTAGATGATATCATCTGCAAATAGAGATAACTTCACTGCTTTCTTTCCAGTCCTGATGCCTTTTCTTTTCTTTTCTTTGCTAATTGCCCTGGCTAGAACTTCTAGTACAGTGTTCAGTAGAAGTGGTAAGAATGGACGTTATTGTTTTGTTCCTTTTCTTTAAGACGGAGTTTTGCTCTTGTCACCCGAGTTGGAGTGCAGTTGCGTGATCTTGACTCACTGACCTCCGCCTCCCAGGTTCAAGTGATTCTTCTGCTTCAGCCTCCCAAGTAACTGGGATTACAGGCATGTGCCACCTTGCCCAGCTAATTTTGTATTGTTAGTAGAGACTGGGTTTCTCCATGTTGGTCAGGCTGGTCTTGAACTCTCAACCTCAGGTGATCTGCTCTCCTCAGCCTCCCAAAGTATTGGGATTACAGGTGTGTGCCACCTTGCCCGATTAATTTTTGTATTTTTAGTAGAGACGGGGTTTCACCATATTGACTAGGCTGGTCTCAGACTTCTGACCTCGGGTGATCTGCCTGGCTTGGCCTCCCAAAGTGCTGGGATTACATGTGTGAGGCACCGGCTCGGCCTCTTACCTTATTTCTGAGTTTAGGGGAAAAGTATTTAGTCATTCACCATCAAGTATGATGTTAGCTGTGGGTTTTTCTTACACTTTGTCATGTTCAGTAAGTTCCCTTCTATTTTTAATTAGTTGAGTATTTTTATATGAATAGCTGTTGAATTTTGTCAAATCCTTTTTGTACATCTATTGAGATGATCAGGTGGTTTTTTGATTTTTCTAGATGCAGTTTGTTAGTGTTTTGTTGAGGGTTTTTGTGTGAAGGTACGTACCTAAGAGATACTGGTCTCTAGTTTTCTTGTGCCATTTGTCTGGTTTTAGTAGGAGGGCAGTGGACTTAATAAAGATGAGCTGCAAAGTGTTTCCCCTTCTCTTCTGTTCTTCTGTGTTTTGTTTTTTGTTTTTAATTAGTTTTCAAGTTAGGCTCGTTTCGCTAGGGAGCCTGCCCCCAGAGCTCCTCGCACTACAGGCCTAGGAGTGGAGCTGTACTTCACTGATTGTTAATTTTAGATTACTTCTGTATTTTAAATTATTCTTTTGGCATTCCTGTTACCATCATTTTTATGACCTCTCTGAAGGCAAAACAAATGTTTCACCCTTAGAATGCTCTGATATTTTTCATCATTGTACCAATCCATTGGAAAAAGAATCTAAATTCTAATGTTCTGAATAATAGTGATCGCATTCCAAAATGCAGATGTTGTCTGTAATCTTGTACTTTATCCTTTTATTAAAATGTTTTATAAATGTTTGATGGCTTGGTGGTTCCGGGTAGCTAAGGTTACGCAAGCAGCAGCGTTGCAGTGTGACGTGGAGGGAGTACTGTGTATCCAGATCCGGACAGCACCTGCTGACTAAATTCCCTCTGCTGGACCCCAGCAGGACACCCTGACTTTTTAACACATTCGTTAGAACTCCAAAATGTCAGGCTCACAGTTTATATTTTAGTTCTGTATGGCTTTTGGTTATGTTAATAGTACTGACTTGTTTTTTTCCTAGATAGCTGTAAACCACATGAGTGGAGTTTTTAATGACAGCCAGATTCGTCTTTGTTTTAGAGTTGTTGCCTGCAATCTCTATCCCTTTGTGAAGACAGTGGCTTCTCCAGGTGTAACTGTTGAGGAGGCTGTGGAGCAAATTGACATTGGTAAGTCAGAAAAA